ATCTTAGGACTATCTTTGCTATATATTCTTAAATAAAAGCTAATTTACTTGTAAAATTATTTAACTATAAATAAAAAATAATAGCTAATATAAGAATAATGGCTAATTGCATGAAAATTTGGCTCTTCAACAACTCAAGTAAATGTTAAAAACACAATGCTTTAATTGTAAGATAACCGCATATAGTTATTATCAAAGAGTAAATTGTCAAGTAAAAAGAAATGATTATTATTAATGTATGTGTAATCTATAAGATTGCTGTTTTGCCAGTATCCAGTATCGGTACGTACTTGAAAAGAAAAGGACTGATTTCTTAAAAAGCGTGGGTGTTTTGTTCTTCATATAAGTTAGAATAAAGGGTAAACACGTCAATATTATCTGATTGTTTCAAATATTCAGAAGTGGATGATAGAATTGATATGTGTCCTTGCACGGGATTAGGGATTATAGATGATAGCATAAATGTTCCATCAAAATCATTTTCAAACCCATTAAGAACATAGGCTTGTTCTTGAAGTTTACCAATTGTCTTCGGCCCACGTTATTTATTTGATTCAATAAAGATTACGTAGTGCACAACATTCACAAGTTACTTCTCCAGAACATTTTGCGTATTTTCGTTGACAACTTGTACATGCACTTGTCACTGGGGATGTATGTCAACTAAGTAAATCATTTTAGCTAAGTAATAAATTTATAATAATTCTTGCAAATTTAAATAGATGCACAGCCCTAATGGCTCGATAGTTTTGGATAAAATTTTGCAAAGACCAGCACTACATCTTTACAAACAAAGTTACAGAGCTATTTTCCTTTTTTTTTTTAAAAAAAACATAATGTATTAAACTTTTCATATTTAACTAGATAAAATAGCTCTGTAACTTTGTTTGTAAAGATGTAGTGCTGGTCTTTGCAAAATTTTATCCAAAACTATCGAGCCGTTAGGGCTGTGCATCTATTTAAATTTGCAATAATTATTATGAATTTATTACTTAGCTAAAAAAATTTTCGGTAATAAATTTCATTATATAACCACATATACTTTTGATTTACTTAGTTGACGCTGGCATACATCCCCAACTTGTCATGTAAAAGTCTCGTTGTCGTCGTTGTTGCTGCTGTTGACGTAGAAAAGACATAAATGATAAATGGCGATGATAATAATTAATCAATAAATATTATAAACACGATCATTGATTCTAGTCAAAAATCTTTATCGTTGTAATCAAAAGATACGAACAAAAGAGAAAAAGGTTTACACTTAATGCATAAAGCTCAAGGAACTACTTAATAAAAAAAAAGGAGAAAGCTCAAAAAATTACAGATA